ATTGCATTAAGGTACACAGCTATGATTTAATTTTTTTAAAAAGTTAAAAATAAAATTAAAAAATATTTAAAATATTTTAAAAATTACCTCATACCACTTAATTATCACAGAGATGAATTGAAGCATCACGAGAAAGGCAATTCCAAGAACTCTTCTGATGATTAGTTGGAAAAGATCACAAAGAGGTTCGGTATGGAACTAGAAAAGAAGGGCTTCAGTGGTCCTGGGGTTGATGTGCCTCCCCCAGACATGGGCACAGGTGAACACAAGATGTCCTGGATTGCTGACACCTATGCCAGCTCCATAGGGCATTCCATATAATACACGTGCCTGCATCACTGGTAAACCCATCAGTCAGGGTGTTGTCTCTGGACATATCTCTGCTAGTGGCTTGGTGTTTTCCATGGAACTGAAAATTTTCTCAATGAATCTTCTAACACAAGCATTGTAGGAATAACACATTTGTTACCCAGGGATTTGCTAATGGGGGCCAGCACTCTATGAGATATTTACATCGTTTTGGTACTAAATGTGTCAGTGTTGGTGAATCTAATGGAAGCACATATACTAATGAACCCACAAGAGGGGATTGTTACCTACCACACAGGTCAATTACTGAAACAACAAAGATAGTCAAGGAAAAAAGGATTTATTACAGGAAACGCATCTGCTGAGAGGGAGAGGTGTGGACTGCCTCAAATCTGGTAATAGTCAGTGGACTGCTCTCTCATGGATGACAGTGGTTGAGAGAAAGATACCAGAAGATGCAGGCAAATGTTATATAATGAAAAGAGAAATGGATAAGATAGCATAACTGCATGAAAGCAGCCCTGCAACCCCAAGGCTCAGCAGCGACTCCCCATTACAGAGTCTACTCCCTCGGGTTTCCACCTGCCAGCTGGTTGACCGTGCCTCTTGACCAGACTGACGATTCCATCTGCTCCACAGAAGGCTAGACAATCTGCTTACTTTTCAGCTGGTCCATTAAGGACTAATAATTGCTAATAATTCCAGTACTAACCGAAGTACTTTTTATAGTAAGAGTAAATTTATGGTTGTATACTAGCATTGATATTCTAGTTCTACCACCCCCTCATCATAACATTTTTAAATTTTTGCATCTGTAGGAAATTCTGCAAGAGAAATGACCAAAGAGGCAGCACAGATGATTGAGACTTTCAAAGCTACCAATTGAGCTGATGTTTTTAATTTATCCCTAATGTCCTATCTATTTTAGTGTTGAAGTATTAGTAATATATTAGTTTTTCTTTTAATCTTTTGAAGTATTTCCATTATAAGGAGTATAAAATGTATATGTGCAGTTTAATAATAATTTAAAATGAGCAACCTCAGGTTCTGGCATACTTATCACAGTATCTCATTGTGGTTTAAATCGCATCTCCTGATAATGTTGATCATGTGTTAATTTGCTTACTGGCTAATTAGAAATCCTCTTTTGTGAAAGGACAGTTTAATTGTTTTTTCTATTTTAAATTTGCTATGTGAAGTTTGTAGGAGTACTTCCCATATTCTACATATATCTCTGTATCATCCTTATGTACCTTATTCATTGTCAATCTAGGGTTTTCCTTCTCACTGTCTTAATGCTTTCAATGAATAGAAATACTTAATTTTAATTCTAGTCAAGTCCAGTTAATCAATCTTTTGTTTTAAGAAATAACCCACAAAAGAGTAAGTAATAAAAAATATCATGTTTAGTAAGGCAAAAGCCACTATGACGCTTTCTTTTTTGTTTTGTTTTGTTTTTTGTTTTTTGCAGTTTTTGGCCAGGGCTGGGTTTAAACCCACCACCTCCGGCATATGGGGCCAGAACCCTACTCCTTTGAGCCACAGGCACTGCCTACACTATGACACTTTCAATATGCCTTCTTCACATATATGATCAAAGATGTATACATATTTTTAATGGAGAAAATAATAATATAAAATTTAAAGGAATTCTTAAATACACATACATGTATAAATTCTTAGTAAATGAATAAATCTAATCAATAAGAAACTTTAATTTTATACTTATTAACAAAGAAAGCAAATGTTTCAGAAAAATGGATTGATTATTCTAAACTTCCTTAAATGTATTTCTTTCACTTAGTTAATAAATTGACAAGGGACAGTAGGAAAGAACTCTTAGGCCAAAATAGTCTAGGATGAATGAAAATCTTACACCTTGTAAATTAATAAATCTCGATTTTCATTTATATTACAATCTATTACTACTTGAAACTCTAATAAACTATTAAACCCATACTTTCCTAAATGCTCCCAATCTGTGACCAATCACTATAACAGGTCCCTGTGTAACCATCAAAATGAATCTACCAAAGAAAATAGACTTGAATGGGCAGTTGAGACAAATGACGAGGCTTGTGAACTTTTTCTTCTTTTTAATTATTTCACCAGCAAATTATTTTTCACAGTAAATCTGCCTGCAGGTAAATTTCACTGAGAAGTCCCCAGCGAAACCAGTCCTTAGAGTGTCAACTGAAAACTATTCCTTTCCTGTTTGGCAACCCCTTGCATGGGGTTCTCCTATTTGGAGAACCAAATGCCCCTTTGGCCACTCGCTCTCCTTTCCACTCCCAAAAGATTCCAACAATTTGGATTTCATGATTATAGGCTATTGCATCAACCCACACATTCTAAAGCCACACCTAAGAGATCCCAATTGGTCATTAATAATAGTCTATGTTATTAAAAGTTTTGCTTACTAAATCTGACTTCACACCCCAAAGAACATAAAAGCTGTGTCCCATCTATCCTCTGGGATGAGGGCAGAGAATCACCTGAATGTATAGCTGAAACATGGTATTAGAAATAAGGAAAACTAAAGGATATTTTAGACCTTGCCTGATGGCTATCTAACTTGATTAGTGTAGGATTCAGTAAAACATTTTATCATCAGTAGGGTTTTATAAACTCAATCATGAGAAAAGATTTAGAAAGCAACCTTTTCCAGTTCATCTTCATTTTCAGCAGATGCATCTAAATAAAAGTCCTGTGGCCACACTGGAGAGAAGATTGCTTTATTGAACAGGATGTACAGGTAACCTCTATTGGGGCATAAGAAGGATTTTGAGGCTGAGTTTCTTGCTAAAGGCTTAAATAGTAAAGATTAAGATGTCTCCCCTTAGCTCGGCTTTGAACTTACTGGAAATAACCAGGACCAGGAAGCTGACTAAACCATGATATTGAGTCCTATAAGTGACCCAAGGTCAGATTTAGGGTGGAAGGTGGAAACTGGAGATTGTTGATCAACAGCCAGTGTTCAGGAAAATACAGCATTGTTGTAACCCAGACCTGAAGACTCATAGATACATACTTAAGAGATATGAACACATTCCAGCCAGGAAGAAGAGATTTGGGATATGAAGACTGAGGGCAGTGTCTCAGGATGAATGTCAGAAGGTTGATCTAATTATCTGTATAAGAGAGAACTATCCTGGAATGAATGTCCTATTCCCATTATCTACAGCCTTCTAAGTATGATCAGAGAAAAGTTAGTGGGAGGGGACGTCTTCCTGCAACACAGGGAGTACTAGCAGCAGATATTTCCAACAGAAGCTAGCTTTTCTCCTATGTTACCTGATGAGCAGTCCAGAATGTGTGGCAATGAGCAGAGCTCAGCCTATACCCATTCAAGTATTTCTGTGTCATTAGACCCTTTTGAGTTTTCCTCTTGCTTCCTGGTCTAGAGATTCCAGCCTTTTCCGGAATATACATACATCCTAGAAATTCTATTGAAGATCCCCTGAGGCAGCTACATGAGTCCCAACTAATTTCTTTCCCACTTGTCATTTCTGAAGTCTAGTAGCAATACCTACTAAAAGGAATGACATGCCCTCCTTTCTGAGTGGTATCCATAGTAATCGCAAAGTAGTTTACTCTTATAAGAGACGTCTCCACTCCAAAACAATTCTCAATTTTTCTTCCAGCTGAAGTCATGAACAGGAGTGGTAGTCCACTGGTAGTGATTTCAATGTGGTTTTCTTACACTTCTCTTATAAAGGCACAAAAAGTAATAATACCTGCATCATTAACAGCAACAAATTTGATCTTTGATGGTGCATCACAACACAGGAAAATTTTTCTGAGCTTTTCCTAGACTTACAATCTCAAGAAATGATTATAACATTAAAAAATATTTAATGAATAGTTAGGAGTAGATGGTTTTGAAGCACTTTCTATATAATCCCATAATTAAGCCTCAAAATTCAACATGGTACTATTATCTCCAATTTATATACTAGGAAACTGAGGTATGAACAGAGTTTTATGTATCTTGTGCCACTCACACAGGTAATTAGTGGTAAAACAGAATATATGAACCAGTCTCTGTACAAGAGAGAACTATCAAGGAATGAACTGTTCTCATTATAAACAGCCTTCTGAGTATGATCAGGGAACCTGCCAAACTCAGGTTCCCATCTGAAGTTGATCTTCTCTGTGCAGTCCAAAAGTCCACATTAGATATTGGTCTTTGTTGCTCAATTATACTCTAAGCATTAGCTTTTCGGAACCATCCATGTTTTACTAAACATCACTTGACTTTTCTCAGTCCTGAGATTTTGACCATATTGTGCATGCCAACTTAGTGTCCCTTTCATACTCGTTTCTCCTCAGGTAGTCACAAATATTTCTAAATCTTCTAAAACTATTTGTTCACACTTCCTCAATGTAATGTCATTGCTGACCCCTAAGTACATCAAAATTTAAGCTCCTTTTATATTATCTACACTGTTATAATTTCTTGTCTTTATATCCATATTTTTCAACAGAGAGTTGAGAGAGCAAAGACCACGTCTCAATCTTTGTATTTCACATGACTGACACAAAACCTAGGTCCTAGTAGGAGCCAAAAATATTTATTGAAGAAGAGTGATATAGTAAAACAATAAATACTTTGAGAAAATTGCTTGGAGAATAGTAGAACCTTGGCTGCCATGAGTTTTTATATTATTTCTAGGAAACAGCCTTTCTAAATGGCCTTGGGGAACAACAGCACCATCACGGAGTTCCTCCTTCTCGGGCTGTCTGCTGACCCTGATGGCCAGGCTCTGCTCTTTGTGCTCTTCCTGGTTATTTACCTGCTGACCATAATGGGGAACCTGCTGCTCCTGCTGCTGATCAGGACTGATTCTCATCTTCACACGCCCATGTACTTCTTCCTGAGTCACCTCTCTTTTGTCGATCTCTGCTTCTCTTCAGTCACGGTACCCAAAATGCTGCAGAACCTCCTTTCCCAGAGGAAAACCATTTCAGTAGAGGGCTGTCTCACTCAGGTCTTCTTTGTGTTTGTCGCTGCAGGGACTGAAGCCTGCCTTCTCTCTGTAATGGCCTATGACCGCTATGCTGCCATCTGCCACCCATTGCTTTATGGACAGATCATGAGTAAACAGCTGTATATGTACCTTGCATGGGGTTCATGGGCCCTGGGCTTTCTGGATGCACTCATCAATATCCTCTTAGCAGTAAACATGGTCTTTTGTGAGGCCAAAATCATCCACCACTACAGCTGTGAGATGCCATCTCTTCTCCATCTGTCCTGCTCTGACATCTCTGGGAACCTCATTGCCTTGCTCTGCTCCACTCTCCTGCATGGGCTAGGAACCTTCCTGTTGGTCTTCTTATCCTACACGCGCATTATCTTTACCATCCTGAGCATCAGCTCTACCTCAGGTAGAAGCAAGGCCTTCTCCACCTGTTCCTCCCACCTCACTGCAGTGATACTTTACTATGGCTCAGGTTTGCTCCGCCATCTTCTGCCAAACTCAGGTTCCCCCGTGGAGTTGATCTTCTCTGTGCAGTATATGGTAGTCACTCCCATGCTGAATCCCCTCATCTACAGCCTGAAAAACAGGGAAGTTAAGGAGGCCCTGAAAAGAACTTTGGAAAAATATTTTCAACATATCAGGTATTGAATCAAAAACTTAATAGTATGGAAAAACGGGATAAAGCTGCTTGCAATAAGACATTGGATAAGAGTACAATGAGTACTGCCGACTACCTGCAATATCAAATACTGCAAGCTAAATTATAAATGCGTGAAAGAATGGCACAGACTTAATATAGGGAGGATAATTCACTTTAATCTCTCTTAGGGAAAAAGCAAATTATTCAATTATCACCTTAATCTTAAAAGTTTTGTTATAAACATATTGATTTCATCTTTCTTATTCTAAAACATTTGGTAAAGGCGTTAGTATCATGACTATGATTATTTTTTATTTACTTTGGGAAATATACTAAAAGTCATACATACAAAAGAATGCAGTAGCATCTGTGGGAGAGAAAAGTCATGAGTAAGAATTGATAGGGAGAAAAAGAATTCCAACTGAGCAGCCATAGAAAGCAGGCATGAAGAGCTAAAGCAATTGCAAAGAGGGAAATCAGCATACTGAGTCAGAACTTAGGTAAAATTTCTGAAAACTTTGCTGTATGTGCAGCCTGGGGGCCAGACCTCCAGTGTGAGAGGCTGCAAGGAAGCTCTGTGGTTCTGGAAACTTCATTTCTCACTGGTCTTCATTCATTTTACAGGGGACTTACATTTCATCCAAATTAGCTGACCTCACCAGTATCTTCTCCCTGGTAGAGGGTAGGCTTTTCACCCTAGACAAGTAATCTTGTTTTGCTCTTATCACAAGTACATTCTGAAGCCACCTTTGTCTCTCATCTTTCACTTGTCAAACAACTAGTCTCTGTTTAGGGACAAAGTGGTTCACTGGTTATAAGGCCGTTACATCATTCATATAATAATCCATTTGTACCTATAAAACACAAATTCTGTCTCCCTGTGCTTCAGATTCATTTAAGCTGTGACTTACATTTGTCTAATTCACCATTACAGGAAAAGGGGGAAAAACTAAGTAAAAATTATTGATCTTATCTAATATTAATTTGTACTTCTTTTAAGGTTTCATGAATTCACTTTGTTCTAATTTTGAGTTATAAAGACTTTTCATCCTCATCTGGCTATTGATATCTCACAAATGAGATCTCCTCATCTTCCATACACAAAAGGATATTCAAGGCCTGCTTTGCTTTCTTTGATGCAAGATAGGGTACCAGCTAAACCCCCAAGGTCAAGCTTCCTGTGGTAAAGGCGAATGGAAAGAACTGAACCCTGAGAGGAAGTTGCTTATGATCATCACACAGATGTCACAGGATCAGGATGATGGTGGTTGAGAGAAAGATACCAACAGTCTCAATCAAATTCCTTTTAGCATACGGATGTGTGGTCATAAGACACTGTATGAAGACATTCCTACAATTCTGGAGGCTGAGCAGTGTTTCCCCGGTGGAGAGGCAATGTCCTTGAACTTTAATGCCCTCAATGTTGCCCCACTGCCTTTCTTACGAAAAAAATCCTGTCTAGACTTTAGGGAAGCTCTTCTTATCATTCTCTCAAGGGTTTTTATGCTCTTGTAGCCATAAATTTGATGAGACCCTGACTAGACAGTGACCTTTCAAAGAGGTATAAGGAACCAGTGACAATCCAAGGATATACCTGAATGCTTATTATTAAGAAGTTGAATTTATTGGGTATTTCTCAGCATCAATTTCCAAGGTATCCCATGACCTTGGCAAGCCCAAGAACTCCTCCTATGAGACAGATGACAAAAAGGGCAGAAAATGCCTCAGAGACTAAGCCATGCAAAGTAATAGTTGATGCTCAATTTTTTTTTTTTTGAGACGGAGCCTCAAGCTATCCCCCTGGGTAGAGTGCCAGGGCATCACGCTCACAGCAACCTTCAACTCCTGGGCTCAAGCGAGTCTCCTGCCTCAGCCTCCCAAGTAGCTGGGACTACAGGCGCCCCCTACAACTACAGGTGCCCCCCACAACGCCTGGCCATTTTTTGGTTGCAGCCATCGTTGTTTGGCAGGCCCAGGCTGGGGATTCGAACCCGCCACCTTAGGGGTATGTGGCTGGCGCCTTAGCTGCTTGAGCCACAGGCGCCGAGCCGATGCTCAATTTTTTAATATTACCCTGTTTCACTATGTTCTTTGCTTTTTTTCTATTAAAACCTTTGCAAACTGGGCGGGGCCTGTGGCTCAGTGAGTAGGGCACTGGCTCCATATACTGAAGGTAGCAGGGTCCAACCCAGCCCCAGCCAAACTGCAACAAGAAAAGAGTCCGGCATTGTGGCAGGTGCCTGTAGTCCCAGCTACTCAAGAGGCTGAGGCAAGAGAATCGCCTAAGCCCAGGAGTTGGAGGTTGCTGTAAGCTATGATGCTACGGCACTCTACCGAGGGTGATCAAGTAAGACTCTGACTCTGAAAAAAGAAAGAAAGAAATATACCCTTGCATTGTGCACATTAGTTGAGATCCCATGAATGACCTCTCTCCTCCCACCAAACACCTTCTCCCTTTCCCTCCCTCCTCACCCCCTTCTTCCCCCTTGTTAGAGTATATTTGTGAATATACTATATTATGAGTGTGTTTTATCATTCATAAGAGAGCATAAGTGTTTTTATATCAGTTTCATAATAATATTGAGTACATTGAATACTTTTTTTTCCATTCTTGAGATACTTTACTAAGAAGGATGTCTTTCAATTCCATCCAGGCAAACACAAATGATGTAAAGTCTCCATCTTCTTTTATGGCTGAATGGTATTCCATGGTATACATATACCACAGTTAATTAATCCATTCATGGGTTGACGGGTATTTGGGCTGCTCCCATGACTTGGCAATTATGAATTGGACCGTAATAAACATTCTGGTGCAAATGTCTTTGTTGTGAAATGATTTTTGTTCTTCAGAGTAGATAACTAGTAATGGAATTGTGGGATCAAATGAAAGGGCAACTTTTAAATCCTTAAGAATTCTCTATACTTCTTTCCAAAAAAGCTGTATTAGTTTGTAGTCCCACCAGCAGTGTAGACATGTTCCCTTCTCTCAGCATCCACACCAAAATCAGTAGTTTGGCGATTCTGTGATGTGGACTAATCTTACTGGGGTTATGTGTTATCTCAAAGTGGTTTAGATTTGCATTTCTCTTATAATTAAAGATGATAAGCTTTTTTATGTGTTTATTGGCCATTCAACTGTCATCTTCAGAGAAGTTTCTGTTTAAGTCTCTTGCCCACAAATATATGAGTTTGTTTGATCTTTTCTTATTGATTAATTTGAGTTCTCTGTACATTCTAGTTATCAGACCTTTTTTAGAATCATAACATGCAAAAATCTTCTCCCATTCAGAGAGGAGAAGCTTTCATTCTTTTCATTCTTTATTCAGAGAAACTTTATAGCTTGATCAAATCCTGGTAATATATTTTTGGTGTTGCTTCAATTGCCGGGGGAATCTTCCTCAAAAAATATTTCCCCAGGCCAATATCTTCACGCATTTTCCCTGCACTCTTCTCTAGTATTTTTATAGTTTTATGTCTTAAATTTAAATCTTTTATCCATTTAGAATCAATTTTTGTTAGTGGTGAGAAGTGTGGGTCCAGTTACAGTCTTCTATGGGTCGCTAGCCATTTCTCCCAGCACCATTTGTTAAATAGGGATTCTTTTCCCCAATGCATGTTTTTGTTAGGCTTGTCAAAAATCAAATGATAGTATGTGGCTGGGTTCATTTCTAGATTCTCTATTCTATTCCATATATCTATGTTTCTATTTTTATGCCTGTATCATGCTGTTTTGATCACTAGAGAGTTAGAGTATAACCTGAAGTCTGGTAGTGTGATGCCTCCAGATTTGTTTTTATATCTGGCTATTTGGAGTTTTTTCTGATTCCATATAAAATGAAGTACTATTTTTTCAAGTTCTTTAAAATAAAACATTAGTGCTTTGATAAGGATTGCATTAGATCTGTAGATTGCTTTGGGTAGTATGGACATTTTAGCAATGTTGATTCTTCTCAGCCATGAGTATGGTATATTTTCCATTTGTTAACATCTTCAGTGATTTCTTTTCTCAAGCATTCATAATTTTCTTTATATAGATCTTTCACATGGACCTTAACACATCCATTGTTAGATAAATTACCAGGTATTTCATCTTGTTTGGCACTACTGTAAAAGGAATAGAGTTCTTTTTGTTTTTTTACTTTTTGGTAGGTTTTTTTTTTTTTAAGATGGATCTCACTATGTCACCCTCAGTAGAGTGCTGTGGCATCACAGCTCACAGCAACCTCAGACTCTCGGGCTTAAGCAATTCTCTTGCCTCAGCCTCCCAAGTAGCTGGGACTACAGGTGCCTGTCACAACACCCAGCTATTTTTTTGTTACAGTTGTTTAGTTGGCCCAGGACAGGTTTGAACCCGCCACCCTCAGTGTATAGTGTATGTGGTTGGTGCTGTAACCACTGTGCTGTGGGCACCTAGCCAGGAATAGAGTTCTTGACTATCTTTTTGGCTTGACGATTTTTGGTGTATATATACAGACTTGTAAGTATTGATTTTGTATCACAAGACACTACTATATTCTTTGATCAGTTCTAAGAGTCTCTAAGACTCTAAGTTGAGTCCCTGGGGTTTTCCAGG